ACAAGTGGGAGAGGATGGGCAACAAGGAGTGATGAGAAGATTAACAGTAATAGTAGTGCAGACTTTGTAATAGTTGAATATATAGATATAGCTTCAGTTGATGAAGATTGCCTGTGTGGAGAGAAGACCACATCGTTAGTAGTACAAGAAGGTTCATACCAAACCTTGGCTTGATGTGTGTTTTCTATTCTTTCATTTAAAATAAAAATGTGCACAGTTCTCAATCCTGCCCCATCTGTTATAACATCCTTATTTTAAATGTGAATTTTTATCCTGAAATAGAATAGGAAGCTCTACAGAGATGTGAAAAACAGACACCACTTTAGTAATTAATCAGTGCAGCTTTGAGATTCCCATCACATTCGGTTTAAATAAAATCCCTCTGGTCAGGAACACCTTAGCTTTATTGGAACAGGGGTGCAAAAAAAAAGGAGACGTGGCTTGCTATTTTATGGTCCTGGAGTTGGAAAGACCAAAAAATTTCAAGCCAATTCCCCACCCCCCACTTGATGTGTGCTTTTGTGACTGTGCAGTTGGGAAGATTTAAAGTTCTATAGGTACCATAAGCATTACAAGGGAACCTGACCCCATCCACTATGAGGAGTATGGCCCTCACTGTGCCATGGAAAGTCATTGAACTGATGGAATTATACCTCCACCTCTACATGTTAGAAGCTGTAGAAGGAATTGGGTAGTTATATCTAGTGAGAAGGATAGATATTAGTTGTTGTATAGCCAAAGGATGCTGTTACATGGCAGCTCCTTTCTATTACGAATATGAAGTCTAATTTAGTGACGTATCGTTGTTTGGCCAGAAGGCCATTTAAATAGACCATTTCTGCTACTTTACAAAGTAATGGTAGACTTAGGTACAGGAAGGATTTTTGGGAATATTTGGAAATTATAGGCAACTGCTTTTTCATTCAAACTTTTAGGAAAAGCTGGTGTACTCCTCCTTTCAAAGCTCAGAAAATCTAGGAGGAGCAGACGCTTTCTCCCAATTGATGGACTGGTATGGCTGTCAAATAATGAAGAGCACTGTTGAGTCTACATATACAAGATTTTGTTTGACCAGAAGATGGAGAAGCAACATGTGTTTTGTTTGGCTGGTCTTGTTCTGGAAACAATCCTGATTGCCTCCTCCATCATAATTAGCTTCTATTGACCTGCCTCTCAGTTCTGTGATAGTTGGTTATTGTGGAGAAATGTGCAGCAGGATGATTTTGGAGTAATACCAGAATGTGTCCAAATCTTTAGATTTGTCTGTAATCCAACAGTACTCCGGCCCACTTCATCTAAATCTAATTCATAGAAAAGAAATTCTGCTTAAACAAACCAGCCCAAATAGTATACTCTATCATCCTTTATTTGATTGTACCGAGTAATATTTACTTCCTTAGTAGAAATGTATGTGATGCCCTGGGATAATTGCCTCTCTTAAGGGGGTAAATGGGACTAGATTTTGGAATGATCAAGTCAGAGTCCTGCCCAGAATCCAGCTGAAATGTGTCATAATCTGAAGTGAGTTGAAGCAGTTTCTATAAAGAAGAGTGAACCAAAATACAATTGAAGCTGATGTTAAGAATCGATCAATAAGTGCAGAAGACGTTAGATTGAAGTTATCATTGCCAAAAGAGGCAGCAGTTTTTTCCCCCCAACAAAGACAGAGGAAGTTGGCTCAGTGTGCTCACTTTTGACATTACCTTCTTTTGTTGTTTATTTAACCAGACTCTCTTGATCTCTTAATGAGGCTTAGATGAAACATCACATCACAATGTAGGTCACAGCATTGCAAAATTATGAATGTTCTAAATTTCCATGTAATTTATCTCACTGCTGTATGTTTGAATAATCTTGCGATTCGTTCCCTCTTACAATACAGGTGACTCAAACTATATTAAAATATCTGGCCTAGAAATGAGCAAGCTTCAGAATAAGAGTTAAGCCTGACCTTGCCACAGGTCTAACTTTGGCCGCCTAAAGGGAAGAGAAATTTTAAAAAGGCACAGCAAGAATGAAATGAGTGAAAATTAGAGATTTCTTGTTTGGAGTTCTTGTGGATTCTTTTCCTTGGAGCAACTTGCTCACAAGACTTAAGCAAGTATATCCCCAATCCTCATAGTGATTAACAATGCCTGAGAGGAAAGAAATCAAAACAAGATTGTGGGATGTTGAAGGATGACACATAAAGCACAATGCTGAATTGGTCTGGATTGTTGATAATGTTAGAAATCCCTAAGCTGGTTAACAGATAACATTAGTGCAGAAATACAGTAAAATAACACACATTATACTTTGTTTGGGCAGCAAAACTGCTTGTCCATGGGAAGATCCGTAGGATTCAATATTTTAAAGATTGTGCTCATACCTAAAAGAAAAGAAAAAACTTTATATTTTGTTGTTGTTTTCCTCCATTCCTCTGAATTTCTTTTTGAAGAAAAGGACACAAAAGCAAAAGCAGAGATCAAAGAGGATGGCCAGTCATGAAGAAGATTAGAGGTCCTTTAATAGTTGTGTAGAATGGAGCATTTTAGTTAGTGCTGAAACTCTTTTTGCTTCAGCTGTTTAAAATCCAGTAGCCCTTCTTTTCTTTGATTTCACAGAGGAGAGGAAGAGAAACATGGAATGGTTGCTGGGCAGCAGGTTGGGTTTTCTCTGTCAGTTTAATTACCATAAATGTTATTCAAGTGTGGCTTGTTTTTTAACGTGCATGTTTTAAAAAATAAAGGACAGCAGAAGGAGCACCATAAGGGATGAAGGAGAGGAGTTTAAACTCTTCCCTTCCCAGATTCCGTTTTAACAAAATCGCTTACCTGAAGCTGTTCCAGTGACTCAGATTGGTGCTGTAGATAAAATAGTACTCCTCTGCTTTCTGTCCTTGCTTGCAGATAAAATGTTAGAAAACCAACATGTGATGGTGAACTTACCTGCCAATACTGTAATCTGCAGTCAGGTTGATCCTGCGTAAGCTCTTTTCTCGTATTTAGGCTGCCTAAGTGAAGAAAGAGTAGGTGACGGTGTAACTATTGTTGGGAAAATACGTCCCCATGTTATTTTTTTAACGAAGATTTGTTGATGGCAGGAGCAGATACACTTATTCTGACACCCCTGATAGGGAAAGCGCTCAAGAGCAACAAGGGAGAAATAGGGGAAAGGAACCTAAGAGACGGCTAGGGTTGGGTTTGTCTAGAGCAGGGGTGTCCAACCTTTTCAGCTTGGTGTGTCGAAAATCGGGAAAAAGTGTAGCCTTCCTCGGGTCGTGTGTCACTTCAAGAAATATCAATAATTTGGTTTATGACGGACTGGGCTGGGGTGATCACACAGGGCTGTGAAACTTGTCTCCCTGGTCTCAGGGCTGCAGGTGCAGGATGTGGGGATCGGAAGGCCACTTTACAGGGCTGTGAACCTCATGGATCTCCTTTCCTCCTGTAGCGTTCCTGAGGTAATGAAACTGACAAACCTCAGTTTATGGCGGTTAAAACTGGTTCTCTGCTGCAAAGATCTTGCGGCAGCGGTGACACCACGCCTCCACGCAACAAGCAGGGAGCAGGGATTGGAGCAGAGCACAGGCAGCCTCTAAATGTGCAGGTTTTCCCCACACCAACAGGCGTGTCAGTCAAAGTGCCTCGGCGTGTCACGAGTGACACGCGTGTCATATGTTAGCCATCACTAGTCTAGAGCAAAGGAAAAAAATGAATGGTAGCATTTATCATCCTTGGGTGTATCTAATGAGGGAGGAAAGGAAGCCCGTGACAAAACATGGCATAATTATACTGAAAGGAAAGTGAACAAGTTAACAGGCTTATTCTCAATCAACTAGAAAGTAGGTTAATGGGGAAGCTGTCAGTAGTTTGGACAAACACAACTACAAGAGAATGCCTAATTCTGAAAGAATGTTTTCTCTGGGTGTTTGAGGGAAATGATAATTATACTTTTCAGGTTAGAGTCTTGAAATGTGGAGGGACAGAAAAAAACAATAGCTGGAGAACTACAGTTAATAGTAATATGAAGTTAATAGTTAATAGTATGAAGTTAACAGTTAATAGTAATATCTTTATTAGAACCCAAAGCTCCAGTAGCAAAAAAAAAATTATGAGGAAAAATTACGCTTCATTAGGTTTCTTGCTAAAGCAACTGCCATGTGCCATTTATATACTTGATAACACAGGCTGAGTGTTTCTGTACACAACATTCTTTTATTCAAGATTTATCATTAATCATTTGTAAAGACCCCTCCCCCAACTTTTTATGTGTGAATTGACAAATTAAACTTATATTAACAATTCCAAAGAAGTACTTGGAGTATCCTGAACGCATATTAAGATAATTGGTACCGGAAGTTTTTATTGAGCTGTAGAAATATTTTTCTTATCCTTGAGCAGAGTTGTGTAGAAGGTTGATAGGTAACAATCTTAGTTGCAATGATAAGAGTCATTATATGAAGAGCATTTAGGCCCAGCATCCCTGGAATATATTTTGCTCTGGAGTAGGGCAGTTTGAGGGGCTTAGATGGCAGCTGTTCTCTTTTGAAATGGTTTGTTTACTTTCTCCCTGTATTATTGTCACTGATAGATTCGAAAAGGAAGTGGGGCATCTAAAGTTCCATTCTGTAGGTACCATTATTTCCTTTGTCCTTTTCTCTGGGAGGGAGAGGGGGAGAGAGCTTTCAACATGCACCTTGATAATGCTTTGTACATACTGAAGTTTACTCAGTTAATCTTGGTTCACTGGGTGTGCCTGTGTGCTCACGGTAGCAGAAGAGAGATTGATATCAACAGTGGAAAAAGGATGAGCCACCCTCGTTTGGGAGGAAATGGAAGCAATCATTTTGAGACGTAGGGGGTCATTGGGTTTTCACTGAAATAATTTGCTATCACATTTGACTCTAATATACATCTACAGGTTTTGGGTCCTGCTCCAAAGTGGTGCTCATTTCTTGATAATCTGACAGAAGAGCTGGAGGAGAACCCGGAGACAACAGTTTACGATGACTATAAATTTGTAACAAGAAAAGATCTTGAAAATCTTGGTAAAGTACAACTGCTGTAGACGTGATTTACTTTATCTTGACTCTTTCCTTTGAGTATGACCTTAGATAATCTCTTTACTTATATGCACCTCTATTTGCATTCCTGTCTCTACCTACCAGGTCTTTGGTGGAGGATTCCTGTTTTGAGTTCCTTATTTTCCTTGTCCAAATTGAGAACTTTGATTTCTTACCTTGATCCAAGGAATGGTTTATATTGGTTGATTCAAAACTCTTAATTCCCGCAATTTCAATACCTTACGTTATTATGGGAAAAAATACACATATAACTAGCATTTTTGCAGGAATAATTTTCCTGCTAAAGACCTTAATTTAAAAGCTGCTTAAGACTCCATTTTTATTAGCAATTGAGGAAAATTAAACTTGTTTAATTTAGTAATAAACTGTTAGAACTCTATATAAATATATTTTACCAAGGAGAAGCCAATTAAGCATATGATTTCTTTTTAAAAAGAATCAACCTTAATCAACCTTCTTTTAAGGTTAATCAACCTTAAAAGAATATAATATTTACACTAAATCTTTTTTTTCAAGTCTACTTGTTCCTTGTTCCTTTAGGAATACTTAAAATTCTCATTTCTTAAGATTTATAGCTAAGTAACAGAGATATAAAATGGTTATTTTAGATTTTACAGGGATTCTGTGATGGTGACCTGGAATCAAAAGCCTATAGTAACGTTGACACCACAATATTACTTTTTTCCCATGGATACTCCATGTATTTCTCATTTGAAAAGATATGTGATTCTCTTTGGGGGCTGACACATTCTGGTAATGTTTCCAGACCAGCTCTTCACTTTTTTTCTGTACATAAATGATAGATGCAAACTTTTTTTTTTGTAAAGTACCCGAAATTTATTTTTTAAATTTTGTGTTATATTAAGGTCATGTTCAATACATGTATCTCCCTCTTTCCTTGCCCCCACCTCCATTTTGTCTCCAGGGCTTGCTCATCTTATTGGCTCACCCCTTCTTCGGGCATACATGCATGGCTTCTTCATGGACATACGATTGTATCATAAGGTATGTGGGCTTGCCCAAAGAAGTCAGGCTAGGCTCCCTTTCTTATAGAGCACCATTTTTCAGGTTGAATGGACGAGATGACTTTTAATTAGTTGGCTGCTGTGGGTTTCATTTTATTGCCATCTTTTAGCAATGTTTCATTAGTACGTAGCCTGATTTGTTTAGTTTAATTCTCATTCTTGCTAGCAACCCTGAATGTCAACCTAGCAAATAAGAATGTTAAATCAAATGGGAGAATTACGCAGTGTTTTATGATTTCTTCCTTTTTCTCCCTGATTGCTTTGTGCTTGCAGGTTAAAATGATGGTAAATCCTTTTGCCTATGAGGAATACAGAAGGGAGAAAATTAGACAGAAGATAGAAGAAACACGTGCACAAAGAGTGCAGCTAAAGGTAAATATGAAGTTTGGTTCATTCGGGATAGGTTCATCAAAGAGAGAGAATGAAAAAGAGAGGGGTGTGTGTGTGTGTGTAGTACATTTGGGTGTTTTAGAGTTGTTATATCTGAAAGGAAAGGAGCACAACTTCATCTGTTACAGAGTTCTTCTCTTTGCTGGGGTAAGTAGTGAGATCTCAAAGGACATAACTGGCATTGGCTCGGCTATTGGCAGGAATCCTACTGTTCTCATTCCCCCAGAATGCAAACCAGGAATCTGAAAAAGGCCATTCTTGATGGGAGAATTATGCAGCCCCCTATGTAGATTGGGTTTGCCTGATAAGAAATTATATTTGAACCAGGTGATAAGTCAGCAATCTGAATTTTACTTTGTGTTAGCTAGGTAAAATGTCACTGGTTGTAATATGAATTGTCCTTGGGGCTTACTTTGCATCATGAAGGAGAGATCCCAACATTTTTCAGGCTTCTTTGTGAATCTGAGGAAAAAAGATCTCTATGCTTGAAGAAACATAGAGATATAGAAAACTGATGGCAGAAAAAGATCCAGTGGTCTGTCGATCTGCCCTTTTGAGTTTCCCTAAGAGTCTCCTTAATTTTTATAAGTGGATTCCTCAGACCAGTGGTGAAGTCTGAAGCCTTTCTTTTAACTAATTTTTAAACCATGTGAAAACACGTGTGACCCTGTTCTTTCTTAAGCCACTGGTAAAATCAGAAATCCTTGGGTATCTCAGAAGATCCATGTTTTCTACCGAAATCCCTGGTATGAGCACCTTCTAAATAATTTGGCATTTCTCAAATTATCCAAGAAATCTATGTAGTGGTAACTAGAACCTGCTTTTCACTTAATATATAATTTAACATATTCCAAATTATTATATATTCCATACAATTGTCTGTACTGTGATTCATATATTTAATCAGCAAATATGTTGAAGGTGCCAGGTTCCACACTAAAGAGATCCATGGTTGTTTTATTCACTAGAAACTTCCCAAAGTTAATAAAGAACTTGCACTGAAGTTGATTGAGGAGGGAGAAGAGGAACTACAAAATGCTCGAAAGAAGAAACAAAAGGTAGGTACCCTTCCTTGTTTCTGTTGCATTAATTATATGAAATGAAATTGGCCAGTTGTGCTGTTTCAAAGATGCCTGTATCTGAATATGTGTGGGGTGATGGAGGGGTATAAGTTCATGAGAGACCAGAAACTTTGAAAGTCCCCTTTTGACTTACCCTGTTATCTCCAGTTATTGGGCCTCTGCTGACAGGGCTATATGACTGATATAATCCCTAATCCTTGGAGAGCATGACAGGAAATGGTATTTAGATGACTGAATTAAAAGAGCTTTATTTGCTAAGTTGAATTCTATTAATCAAAGTACATCTGTATTATGATCAGAAATGAGAGTACACTATGCACATCCCTGCATAGAAAAGTTATGTTGAAATTAATGATGTAGTAATAGTAAAGTAATAGTAATAGTAAGGTAATGTAAACTATTTTAAATTATATGAACTAAAAGTTAGTCAGCTACATAATAAATGGGGGTTAATACAATTATTTGATCAAAATACTGTGTTGCTGCCTCTTAGTATTTTAAATTGAAGCTGTTTTTATTTTACCCAGCAACTCCTGATTCCTGTTAGACCACAAAGCAATTTGTGCTAGTAATATTCTTTTAGTTACACTTAATGCATATTTTAGAGTAATTTTAGTGGCTCAAAGAATTTTCCTTTCTGGCCAGCTGTCCAAACAAGTTGTTGGACAAGGCTAGCTCCCAGATGCTAGTATTTTTCCAGCAGCCCAGGCTCAGATGACCTTTTCCTAACTCTAAAATGCAAATAGTGATTAAATAGCTTTGTCAGAACACTGTAATCTTAATTAAAATTAAAGCTCACTTTAAAGGTGGAATTGTCTTTTAATTACGTGGTTAAATGAGACATTGAATCCCAACTTAAATCCTGAGTCCCTTGACCAATAGACTCTGGGCTTCAGATTTTCTAACAAAATCTACTTAAGGTAAAGGTGGGGGCCTTAATCCTAGTCAAGCTGACAGGAGCCGTTGTGAATAATACAAGAAGATATACAATTGATGTATGTATGCTATTTTTCAAAAGCTAGCAATAAAACCGCACTATCAAGGAAATCACTGTATGGAATTAAAAATGTGACATTTTATGATATTAGAAGAACCTCACTTACATACCAAACACCAGCTATTTCTTTATGGCCAATTTTGAGTAAGGCATGCATGGATCTCTTCAGAAAGATGTTCTCCAAATTATTACAGAAAATGTCTGTTTATTCAATCCCCAAAGGATTCATTCTGTTGAGGATTGTAACTCATACATTTAATGTAGCAACCTGCTATCCCTTCTGTCACTAATCTTAAAATAATATCTTTATCTTGAATTATGTGTAAGTGCAAATAGGTATATTAAAATCAGTTAAATAAGTAAAACAAATGAAATAAAAATAAACTAAAGTATGACAAATAAATTTAAGTCAGCATAATATTGGGTAAGTAATGTGGACATTTCAAGGACTGATGAAGAATTTGGAAGAAAACACATAAAACATAATCCTGGCAGCTTCCTTCTTCCTTTGCAAACCTGCAAATTGCATTTGTTTTACTTTATTTAACTTACAACCTCCCTTTCTACCACAAGCAGCACTCAAAACAACTGACGTTAAAAGAAAAACTAAACATAAAAACTCATCATATAGCAAATATATGAAGAGGAATTATAGTCCCCAAAGCAAACTATTAAAAGGCAGGGAAAATTGCTTTAGCAGGATGTTAAATAAATAGTACAAATAGAAAACTCATTGGAAGAAAAAAAAATTAAGTTTATTTCACAAAGCTGCTTCTTGCTGTGCAAAAAGTCTCTGGAGATCTAAATGTGTTTAACCAATATAGTTGGAAAATTTAAGCAAGGGAACCAGTTCTCAACTTCATTTTTTTTTTCTTCCAGAAAATGCCTAACATCCTTAGTGATGACCGCTTCAAAATCATGTTTGAGAATCCTGATTTCCAGGTGGATGAGAAGAGTGAAGAATTTAGGCTGCTTAATCCACTTGTTTCTAAAATAAGTGAGAAAAGGAAGAAGAAGTTAAAGATGTTAGAGTACCAAGAAGCTTTGGGAGAGGTAAAATCTGAGAATTTGAGATTTCTCTAGTGTTCTTCAATAGCTGTTTATAAAAAAAAAAAAGTGGAGATGTGATTCCTCTCTACCATTTGAAAAGGATCCCAGGAGGATTCAGTAGAACCATATTTTTTTAACTTTTCTATCCCCATCACTTGTTTAGCTAAGAATCCCCAGCAAGATTTGAAATAATTACGTTGTGCATCTTGCATAGACATCCAATTCCTGCTTGTGCACAGGCACACATGAATAGTCAATAAAATATGACAAATGGCATTTCCCTTTTACACGGTATTTGTTGTTTGAGCACAAAACCTTGAAAAATGCCAACAGTTTGGACCAAATGGGAATGCAGCATGCACTCTGATGACATTCAAGTAGGAGACGGTCTTAAAATGTTTTCCAGGAGTGAAAATATTTTTGCATCATAAGTTTAAAGCATTAGGAGTATCTGCCTCATAGAAGAGAATATTCTTTATGTGATTGAACACAAGGAATTTGTCTCTTGTTCATAAGCTCTCAGTGTACATACAAACAACAAAGCGATAAATCATAAGGTACCAATAGGAGAAGGATATAGGAAAGATGAGAAGGATAAAGGCAATTATAATTCATATAGAAAGTACGAATTTACCTGTTCTAGATTAAATTGGTTTCTCCCAAAGGAACAAATGTGCAGTTTAGTATTATTTCTGGATCTACCAATGGTAGTATCTTATCAATTTAAACTGGTAGATTAGTTCTGCTGTATCCTCAGGAAGAATTGCCTAATCACAGCAATTCATTGCATAGGCAACCTCAAGAGTGGTCCACTACAACGGCTGTTTGTGGGACTGCCCTTGTGGGTAGTCCAGAAGGTACCATTGGTGCAAATTCAATGGGTAGGTTACTAACTAGAGTGCCTCAACATGACGCAATCATCCCTCTGCTAAAAGATCAGAACTGTGTAACAGTTTGCCACCAAGCTTAGTCGCAGGCTATCTTAAAAAGCATCTCCAGGTACATCAAGCGCCTGCAGCCTTTGGATGAGACATGTTCTCTTTGTCACAATTTTGCAGATTGATCCTGGGAGATATGATGGAGTCTCATTGATAGCATGTATGCTGTGGAATGATTTTCCCTCACGTATACATAGATCCCCAACTCATGCAAATGTCTGTGTTTTTTAAGAACACATCTATTTGTCCTGGGCTTCTCGTGCCACTGTTTATCTTTGGAAATGGTTGTTGTTTTGTTGAATTATTATAAATTCAAGGGGTGGCTCTCCATTTTCCCTTTCTCTGCTTCCTAATACGTTGGTTCCTAACCTCAGATGTTTGCTTCTTAAATTGAGCTGTTGGAGGACATATGTAGCACATCCTTTGCTTCCTAGCAGTCTTGGATCTTTTTTTGTCTCTTTTCAACAATAAGAATATTAAATTTAATTGATACCGGATACATTTTGTCCTTTTGGATGTGGGGGTACTTTAATAGTTACAGGTAGAATTGTAGATTAAGAATATGAGGTATATCATTGGCGATGGTAATTAGCCATTAAGGCATTCTGTTGAAAATATCTTGCCCGGTCTTGTGTTAAAGTCCTTTCCAACAGTGCATCTGTGAGGCGTCACGTACTCCTAATTAGGTAAATGGTTCATTTAAGGAACGTTAATTCTTTCTCTTTTTTTATAACTGACTATTTTGGTCTTCAGGAAGAAGAGGAAGAGCCAGAAGGAAAACCAAGTGATGCAGAAAGTTCGGAGTCTTCAGATGATGAAAAAGGATGGGTTGAAGAGGTCAGGAAACAGCGCAGCCTTCTACGCCAAGAGGAAAAAGTAAAACGGCAGGAAAGGTTCAAGGAGGATCAGCAAACAGTCCTGGAACCAAAGTTTTTTGAGATTAAAGCTGGGGAAGAATTTAGAAGTTTCCAAGACACTGCCCAAAAGCAAAAGTTAATGAAGTAAGATCACGATTTTATCCCATTCTAGTGATTTGTCCTCTTTTTTTTTTTCATTGCTCGTGATTAAGATGTGGTGATGATTTCAGATTTCTGCTAAAGGCAGTTGATTTCAAAGCACAGATATAATGAAGAGGTTTCTCTTAATTCATCCATTCATTTGCATACCAATTAGAAAAGGAGGTGCAACTACCATCTCCGTTGACTCCTTAGAAATTTTAATGGGCTGTGCATAGGGAGGCACAAGGCCAATGTGGCATCATTGTGCCAGTGTCCAAGGCCCTTAAATCTGGATACTGTCTTAGGTTGATATGTTATAGGATCCATAGTCTACTAGCCAGTCAGCCCACTGGCCTATCCTATTCTAAAGATCATTTTAAGTTTTCTCAAGATACTTTAACTAGCTTGGTTCCATCCCTTTCATTTGATTTCATTTCATTTGCTCTCAAAGCAATTACCATGGAAAATGATATGCTGATCATGAAAGTGGATGCTGAGTTTATCCTCTCATTTTTTATTTTTATTCTTTTGCAGAAAGTCACTTGGAGATCGCTTGCAACTTGAAGAGAGAGTTGGTGCACTTAGTGTACATGATACCACTGTAGGAAGTAAACAAGTTACTTTTAAATTAAAAAAGGTAAATACCAATCCTAATTTTAAAACTGTTAAGCCCAATGTAGCAGAAGTACCAAGTGGCCCTTTGAATGAGACTGCTTCCCACTTGTGCTCCGCAGGTGGACTACTGTTTCCGAATTGTCTATGCTGGACCAACTTGGTCAGACGTGCACCTCTCTTTTTGCTTTGCATATTTTAATTTGCTGCAACCAGCTGTGGGAGGGGACCAAATCTTTGTCTGACTGTGTTGTGACAGCTAGATCTATTTAGCATTATGCTTCTGCTGGGTATTGGCTTGGCTGCTGCAGAAGTCTGACCAAAGCAGAAATGGGGATAGATCTTAGATTCTTTCATGTTCTCACCACCACACCCTCCATACACATTGCTTGTAGGGCTCTCCAATTTTCTTTCAGCCCCTCCCACCATCTTAGCTTTGATCATTGTTGCCTGTGTCATCCCACACTCACAAAAAGTACATAGGCAAGGTGATAGGAGGAAGGAATTGGAAATAGAAATGACTAGCAGTTTCTTAGAAACCAGGCCATCATTTATCCTATTTTTGGACTGACTTCATAACTGCAAAAGCTAGGTTTGTTTAGTGTAAACTAAAAAGGCTTTTGAAGTACTGCATCAAAATTTTGCTTCTATTAATTGTATCCAGATGGCTTGGTGAATTAACTAGCTTCTGGGACGTATTTTGGTAGCTAAACTGGGAATTTTCAGCCTACACCCTAAGTTGCATTTGTAGACATCTTTAAGCTTTTTGCCAGTTCTGAGAAAGTGGAAGGAGAGATGGTGTCCACATTTTTCTTTGAGATTTTTTCTCCCCCAGACACACCTTCGGTCTACCTCTAGAACCAGGGTTGTCAAACTCGTATTGTCACGGCAGTGTGACGTGACGTATTGGGACTTTTTCCCCCTTCTCTAAACTAGGCGGGGGTGTGGCCAGCATGCGATGTATCTGGCCCACGGGCCGGGTGTTTGACAGCCCTGATCTAAACTTAAGATTATGAGCAGATTAAAAAAAAGTTATCCACTTATTTATGTTCCTTAATAAACTTTTCACTAAATTTGTTTTTATTTTGTCACATTTTATACTATTTCTTCATATCTCTGTTATGGGAATATGAAGCTCTTTGCAAATTTAATGATTGAATCCACATCCCCAAAGCTTTTCATTTCTCTCCCTTTTCTCCATATGTCTCCCAACCCAAAAGTGAAGGTGGAGAAGGGAAAAGATACAATTGGAAGGAGAAGGGCACCATTTGGTCTCTTCCTTCCACTGAAAGATATCTATTAAAATGGACTCCATTGGATATTAACTACTGGGTTGTCTTTAAGTGATTTTTGTAATTTTTGTTTCCAGTCCGAGCACCATAAAAAGCAGCAAGAAGCAGAGAAACTCCATCACGAAGAGAGGAGAAAACTCAGACGGTCTGCGGGCCATCTCAAAAGTAAACAGGGAAAGAGGCGACGCTTCCATTGATGGAGAACTTTGGGTTCTTTCCTTTTGGGGACTCAGAAATTTGTTTTAATAGTGGACTGTTCTCCACTGTGACAGAGGAAGACCATCCAAAGCCCAATTATGTTGTGAGAAAGCATCATGGATCTCCTGTTTGCATCAGAAGTATTACTGAAGTATTTCTGAAGCGATAGCAGCTGGTTATTGTATAACCTTGTGTGATGGCTGATAGGTGTACATTCTATGTGAACATGAATAAACGTGTATAGTATTGTGATACTTCAAATGGCTCTAATTCTTAAGGATTGGAAAACTTTACTATGTTTTTATGGTATATGAACAATAGTACACAGCCCTGTTGATAAGTATTTGGGAAACCAAGCAATTAAGATAATATTTGCTTTACTTCTTCCCAACTGATGATGTTAAAATGAACTTTTATTCTAGCAAAAGAAAAGTAAGGATTTACTTTAAAGCTCTCTTTGGTGAAAGCAATCCGTTTGTGATCCTGAAGAGGAGCTAAGTTTAAAATCCCTGTATGTGAGATTTGTATGCAATTCCATGGATGTCAAGTTTACTAAGCAACTAAAAAGAAATATTTCCTACATTGGGTATTATGTCTGCTCTGATTTTACATCTATTTCACATAATACGATTGACAAATACTGGGTTAGGGTTAGACTGAGCCTGCAGTCTATCAATATGATCTATATCTTTAATGTGAATTTTATTTCAGCAGTTTCTAATTAGTCAAGTGTCAGTTTTCTCAGGTGCTGGGTTCATGTTTCTATGTCTGAGCTTTGAAGTTTCACGAATTCCTTTTAAAAAACCTATTTTAGATGGAAAAACTTAATCAATTGCTATCCCCACTTTTTTTAGTTGTATCTTACCAACAGATTTTTCCTCCAGAAGAGACATGCATTACTCAGAATAAACACTCCTTTCACCTTTTTCTTTAGGGTATAATAAAAGTGATTCGAGAAAAAAAATTCCAGAAAAGCTAGGCAGGGAAAATTGAAAGGAGATTTGTGAACTCTTCAGAATTATCAGGAATCCTGCAGTACATACCTACAATAGTACCTGACGTTTCTCTAAATACTATTAATAATGAGGTTCTGGTTAAACAAACATCAAACTGTATTTTGTCTATTGAACTCACTGGGCCAACATTCATCAATGTTCTTATTGGAAAAAAAACGTGAAATTTTAGTTTCCTTTAGTAGCAATGATTTCAACCCATTTCCTGACAATAATACAGTAATCGCCTATTAGCTACTTTGCACAAGCTTTTCAGGTGATGCCACTTTTTTTAAAATTCAGGTGGGGGCTTTGATTTGGCTATTCCATGATGCAATGTTTCCTCCACCTCAGCAATTTTATTGTAAAATCATTTATGTGTTTAGGATGCTGTATGTCTCACAGTGGTTTAAGCTTTAATTATGCACATTCTTATATTCTCCTCTAGAATGTACTGATGTGTTAGGTATAACATTGATACCAAATATGGTTTGGGTGAATAAATATATAAAACTTAGATATCATGGTTTAAGTGCTTATCACTTTAAGCACAATGCTGCAGACAATTAGCCGATTAAGGGTGCGGTTAGAAGTTACAATATAAGGAAGCATTAGAAGCTGGAAAGCTTACTGTAACTGTAACTGCTACTGCGACTAACTGTGTCTTACTGCGACTAATTGTGAGTGCCTGTGACTGAACTGTTCTTGTTTGCTACTGTTTGCTGAATATCCAGCGTTTGTTCCTCTGGAGAGAGGCACCGGAGGAGGAGAAGATATCTTTATCGGCTGATAAAGATATTGTAAGGACTCTTAACTTGGACTGTAATAGTGAGTCTTACTGGATGGAAATATAGTGAATGACTATTGGACTGAATGACAATGCTTTAAACTCTAAATGGATTAAAAACTATTTAAACTACAAACAGTGTTTGTGTTCAGTGTGTGTATACTCTGGGGCCCTTCCACTCTCGTTTGGCTGCCTGGTTTGACTACTGCTGCAATACTCTGCTAGGGGTTAATCCCCAAACACTAACATGATGCAATGCAGAATCCTTTGTTCCCTTAATGATTGTGATCCACCAGATCTTGCAGCCTCAAAGCAGCCGAAACCACAGTACATCCATTGCCATGGGTCACAGCTAAGATGACAAGCAAATGTCGATGAAGCCTGTGAAGGACTAATCTGATTTATTTTCTACTTGTTAGTTGACACATATGCAACTCTCATGCACACTCTAACATACAATTTCTTAAATAACCTACAGGGACTCCCATTAGTGGTTTCTTATTAGAAAGAGACAGCAGCATACCATAAAAGTAGGATTTCTTGAAATCCACCTACTGTCTATTCTTCTCTAGTAATGTTTAGTGAATAACCACATGTAATGCTGGTATCTCATTTAATTCTCTTTTCTTCAAGGGAAGAAACTCCATTCTAGACAGATTATTTTTGCCTTATCACAAAGGTAGGGAAAGCGAACAGCAATGGCTTCAAGATTCCCCCCCCTCCCCTTACCAGCAGTAGTCATAGGAGGTCTCTGTACTGAATTCAGAAGATTGGAATATAAAGTTATAGCTATGTGAGTCTGCTCTACTCTCAGGAGAAAAGGAAGTTGCCTCCCTGAAGGGTGTAGGAATCCTAAACTAGGACATCTCCTGGGCAATGACATAGAGTTGGCTAATTCTTCCACGATAGCAGCCAGACAATCCTTGTGATCTGGCTTAAAGCACATCACTATGAGAAGATCTCAGGAATGCCATATGCTAAATAAATAAAATAAATGCTCTATCCTCATTTTTCATCTCTGGACTACTCTCTTTTAGGGAAGCATTGGGGTGGATGGTTTCATTTTTGAACTCTTTCTAAGTCTTTAATCGCACCAAATAGAATAGAAGAGAATTATTTCTTGGCCAAGTGTGATTGGACACACAAGGAATTTGTCTTGGTGCAAATGCTCTCAGTGTACATAAAAGAAAAGCTACATTTGTCAAGAGTCAAGAATCATAAGGTACAACACTTAATATTAGTCATAAGCAATCAAATACTAGGAAACAGTCAATAAAAATTGTTAGGATACAAGCAACAAGGTTACAGACATACAGTCATAAGTAGGAGGAGATGGGTGAAAGGAAGGATGGGAGGATTAATAGTAATAGTAAATTACTGTTCAGTTTTTATAGAATAAATCATGCCTACATCGTTTCCTTTACAGGATTTCTTTTCAATGTTTTATTAAGGAGTCAGAAATAATGTTTTGCCCATTGCTTGAATAGTATCTATGCTATGGTAATGAGGGATGAAGTATTCATTTCTTTATACTTTATGCTGCGTATTTTTAAACTGCCCTCTCCCTCAGAGAGGGACTCTGGGCAGTATACAATTATAATCAAAATCAACCTCTGAAATCAGAATAATTTGGGATTAACACATTTTAAAATTATAAAACAGCATTATAACAATTTCAAAAGGTGAAAAAAAATCCAAGATGATGGATTAGCAGTTATTAATAGAAGCAGACAAGAGGGTTCTCATGGTGCCAGCCAGCCCCGTAGTTGTGTGGGTACGTGTGTTCCTTTATTTTATGTTTGATTTACTAACTGGGGATTCTGAATCACAGAGCCATTTCTTTCTGTGTATTAAGTGTTATTTGATTCCTTGCTTGCCTTAATTCTACCCTCGGAGCAAGAAAGTCCAAATTAGTGAGAGGACTCAAAATCTGTGTTATGCAAACAGCTTCTGAAAACACATTTGTGTGTGTATTCAATTATGTATCTCACGGGTCCCCAACCCGTTGTGAACTAGGCTGCACAAGTGGACAACCAAGCGAAGCTTCATCCCATGAAGAGGGGAGGGAATACATCCCATGGACTGGGGGAGGCGGAGAATGGCATTGCATGTGCCAACCTAAGATTTTATGCAGGATCTAGATTGGCACACGCCGAAACCATTCCTGCCCCATGGGAGACAATTTTTCTTCTGAAACCTGTTCCTGGATTCAGAAAGGTTGGGGACCATTGATGTATCTGATTCTCAACCAATGTAGAACTCAATTTCTTCATCCAGAGAATAAGTGACTTGTTTCCTGTTGCTCCAGAGGCCAAATGAGCTAATGGGTGGGGGCTGATCTCCTTTATTAATCCAAAGGTGTTTTTTTTTCCAAAACAGCTTTGCACTTTAAACCATGGGCAAGGTTTTCAGTGAA